TTTTAAACCCATTTTGTATCCACACTTGCTTATTTGAACTAGAAAGAAGTAAACAAAGTAAGATAGTAGCACGATTTTGAAGGTATTCCATTTTGGCCTATATTTTGCGGTTTTTTTAAGAAAATTCGTCCACAATGTCCACAATAACAGTCTTTGATGGTCATAGATTACTTGTTATTCCCAACTATTGTGTAGGTTATATGCCTTATTTTTTTCTCAGGGAATGAAGGACGCGTTTTTCTCCCGAAAAATATGAATTTACACATTCAGAATAAAATGTATCCCTTTATGCCAAAAAAAACACGAAAGCCGGCCGCCCTAACCGCTGCATATTCGAATAAGTCCTCAGCCAAAGAAATACTGTGTATCTATTGGCCTGTTTCGCACCTGCATTCGGATCTTTATCCATGAAGGATGTTTCGATACAGACTTTCGATGCATCAGGCTGGCGTACAATCTTTGAAAGAATGGGATAAAATGTGAAAATCCCAAATAGAATGTCGTTCGAATCACAGTAACTTCCACGTTTGCTTAGACTCCACGGCTGTTATTGGCGCACAAGCGACACGGTCGACTTTTAGCGAGCACCTCCGTACGTTTACCATTCTTTTAAATGCTCCGACTGTATCCTCACGCGACTTCTGTTTCCAGTTAAAAGCATCAAGCATCCTTTTATGTATCTGACAGAGCCGTTTCATTTACGGGCATGGATATGGATCTGATAAAGCTAAAGCGATGAACTGCCATTGGGAGACAGGACGATGACCGACAGCGAAGCTGCCCTGCGGCTAAACTAATTAATATGCAGATTTCGCAACACATTTAGACCGCTCTTTTAGAGAGGCCAATTAAAATTCCTTTGATAGGTGATGAGGATATGCGTGGAAGCGGGGAATCTCCATTATTTAGCCCACAGACCAAAGTATATTTCTCCCCACTCAACGCAAGAAATCTGCTTAGCCAAGCCGACGGCCGTGCTGATAACATTTATTTTCAACGACAGTTTCGAAGGAATGAGCGTTGACTACAGAAGTTTCCTTCATTTCTGAAGTCAGCTAAGACTAATTAGGTTGGACAATATAATGTTATAGAAGGGTTACCAAAATCAATTTAGAATAGAGCTGGTCACAATAAAATGGCGCTTGTTGTGTGTGAGCATGTGCCCGTGCCGGCAGGATTAGGGGCAATTCTCTGAAGGGTCTATTGTTGCCTCAACCAA